AATATAAAAATTTTATTTATAAATAATTATGAAAAATAAAAATTAAAAAAGTTTCTAAAAATCCTGTGTTGGAGAAAAGCTTTTAAAAATGTTCTCGTACAAAATACAAATTTGTGGTTAATATATAGGAATTGATTTGCATAAATAGATATTCTTAAATATATAAATGACATTTTATATTTATGTTAAATAATTTATTTTATGTCAATATTATTTTATTTATTGATATTTATAAAAATATTAATTTTATTTATAAATAATTATGATAAAAAAATGAAATTAAATAAAAAAAATATCCTTAAAATCCTCACTATTTGAGAAAATCTTTAAATATACTCTCATACAATATAGAAATTCGTGTAAATTCGTGTTTAATTAAGAGTTGATTTACATAAATAGATATTTTTAAATATATATATATATATATATATATATAATTTTAGACTTACGATAAATAGTTTATATTATAATGTAATATTATTTTACTTATTGATAATTTAACTTTAAAATATTAAAATTTAATTTAAGAATAATATTAAATAGATATCAAATTAGATAAGAAGTTAAAAATAGTTTTAAAAATCTTTTAAATGGGAAAAAAATCTTTAAAAATGCTCTCACAGAAGATAGAAATTTGTGTTTAATATATAGGAATTGGTTATTATTATTATTTTTTTTTATTGTTGCTATCACTATTTTTATTATAATAATAATAACAAAAATAATAATAATATATAAATTATATTTAAAATTTGTATAAATAAATATTTTAAAATATATAAATTATAGTTTATATTTATGATAAATAATTTATATTAAAACACAATGTTGTTTTATTTATTGATAAATTATTTTAAACTGTTAAAATTTAATTTATAAATAATTATAAAAATTAAAAATCAAATTATATAAGAAGTTAAAAACATTACTAAAAATCCTCAATTTGAGAAAAGCTTCTAAAAATGTTCTCATACAAAATGAAAATTTTATAAAAAAAAATATAAATATAAATTTGTTTATTAATAATTATGATAAATAAAAATTAAATTTCATAAAAAATTAAAAATATCCCTAAAATTCCTCTTATTTAAAATAATCTCTAAAAATACTCTCGTTTAATATAAAAATTTGTGTTTAATATATAGAAATTGATTTATAAAAATAGATATTTTTAAATATATAAATTATATTTTATATT